TGAGATAGTAGTGACTAGGTGTGCGGTGGTGGCACCGGCCAGACAGCGGGTGGAGAGTACATGTCAGAAGGGTCATTGATAAAGCGTGTGAGTGAATAGTGGATGTGTTTAAAAAAACAACAACTAAAGTAATACCAATTCTCTCCATTGGCAGGACGTCGATTTTCCTCCATTAACAAATAATAGCATAAAAAAATACATTTTAATATACAATGTTTGTATAATATATCATATTTTGTATGTTATATATTATTATATAATATATTATGTTATATATTAACCAAATTTATTTATTATTATATTATATACATTATATTTTATTATATATTATATTAACCAAATTTATTTATTATTATATTATATACATTATATTTTATTATATATTATATTAACCAAATTTATTTATTATTTTATGTATATTATTTTATAAATTTATTATTTGAAAAAAAATAAAAATAACGCTCTCCATGCAGGGTGTCGCTGAACAGCACCACCAGGGCGGCGGTGGTGCGGCTGCGCTCGTCGCTCGCGCAGTTTGGCTACCGGTTGCGCTCGTGCAGCGGCAGCCGGCTGCAGCCGAAGCCGACCGACTTCCACTCGATCGCGCAGCGCATGTCGCTCCCCGACCTCAACGTCGTGCTGTACCGCTGCGATGCAGAGGAGCGTGACGACGCGCACGGCTTCGGCGTCTACAACGTGCCCGAGCATGGAGAGCTCGTCTACTGCGGCCTACAAGGTAGGCAGGGGGGCAGAGGTCACGGGGGTGGGGTAGAGGTCATGGGGAGGTGATGAGAGGTTATGAGGGAGGAGGAGGGTGGTGGGGGAGAGGTCATGGGGAGGGAATGAGAGGTTATGAGAGAGGAGGAGGATGGTGGGGGATAGGTCATGGGGAGGGGATGAGAGGTTAAGAGGGAGGAGGATGGTGGGGTAGAGGTCATGGGGAGGGGATGAGAGGTTATGAGGGAGGAGGAGGGCGGGGTAGAGGTCATGGGGGCGTTTATGGCATGGCTTCGGCGTCTATAATGTGCCCGAGCACGACGAACTCGTCTACTGCGGCTTACAAGGTAGGCAGGGGCAGAGGTCACGGGGAGGGCCAGAGGTTACAGGGGTGGGGAGCCAGAGGTCACGGGGAGGGTGAGGCAGGTGTCACAGACGAGGGGAAAGGTGAGGTAGAGGTCACAGGGGAAGGTTAGGTAGAGATTACGAGGGAGGAGAAAGACGAGGTAGAAGTCACAGGGGTGAGCCAGAGGTCATGGGGGAGGACGATGGTGGGGTAGGGGTCATGGGAGTGAGCCAGAGGTCACTGAGTGGGTAATCCAGAGGTCACTGAAGGTGTGAGCCAGAGGTCACAGGTGACGTAGTTTAAGTGCGAATGAAACAAGACAACATGCTGCTTGTAACAGTTGTTTATGTTATGTATGTTATATCACTGATAGGTTTCATGTCTGCTCTGCAAGATATCCGCTCTAAGAACGATCTAGGTCATCCGCTCTGTGAGAATCTACGCAACGGAGACTGGATGCCTCAGTACCTGGCTGCACGCCTGCTCAAACATCCTGGCACTAAAGAGGTATGCTATCCTCATAGTGCATGCTACGAAAATGTGGTGGTGCCGGATGCAAGCTGTATAAAAATGTAATTCATTTGCACTACGAGACTTGGTAGTGGGTGTTGTCTCAACAGACAAGATTGAATGATTGCACCCATCAGCTTAACTGCTATTAAAAGCACCATTTCAAACCCTTCGAAACTCCAAATGATTTTCCTACCATTTTCTAAGCAGTAACGTTTGCATTCAGCAGCAAGTAAAAATTTAGCAGACCGTCTTGTAGTCTCCGACGTTTGTAATCTCTTTGCCTCTATAGTCCGTATATTATGTCTCTCTATATATATAATATAATATATATATTCTCTATAGTATGTATGTTGTATCCCTGTATAGTCTAGTGCTGTACGTGTAATCCTGTGGTTGTGACTCTGTGTGGTGTGTGGCAGCTGGGACTCTGGTTTGAGCAAGTATTCAGCAGTCTGGCAGAGATCCCGCGCTACTTGATACCCTGCTACTTCGATGCCATCGTCAGCAGTGCGTACACGCTCATCTTGGAAACCACATGGAATAACATGTCTGAGTAGGTCACTCATCTTTTCACTTTTGCTCCATCTTGGGCAAAATCGGTTGCAATTTCTTGGTCTTAATTGGTGGTAGTTGCTGGTATTAACTTGATTGTTAATCAGTAGTGTTTTTGTTTCTTTTTTAATTGACTGAATTGTTGTCCATTTTTATTTTGATAAAAACAAAATTGCTTTGGAGTGCAGTCCTTTACGTTATTACCATGTTTATAAATTAAAATATTCCTACCGATTTTTGTTGATTTGTTGTGTATTCATCATTCTGAGGGTTTGATCATTGAGTTTATTGAGTGTTTGATCGTGATGAGTGTTCGTACATTGAGTGTTTGATCGGTTGACATTCAGGTTCGTCAAGAACGGCTCGGCGTTCGTGAAGGCACTCGCTCTCGGATCCGTGCAGATGTGCGGTCAGACGAAGAACGCTCACCTGCCGACCCTATCCCCGAATCTGGAACCCCCGAGTCCCCCCGTTATCATCAACGAGGGAACAGGCAGGAAGGAGCAGGCCTGCTGTACACTGGCTGCAGGTGAAAATATCATGTCATATTATATCGTGTCGCCGTCGTGTACCTATGACTGTATAATGGTTAGTCCGGGAGAGTATGGTATGCTTGAAAATTTGAAATCGTCCACCCTTGGCACTATGGACTGGCTTCATCTGAAATTTACGACTTGTATTTCTTTTAATATGCATCTGCACGAGCAAGTTTGGTCACTTTGTGTGTGGTGGAGATCAGTGCAGTCTGCAAAGTGTGCATTATTGCAGTCATTGTGCTGCACAGTGTGGCTTAGGACAGTAATTACATTGCACAGTGTGCATTAGTGCAGTCATTCTGCTGCACAGTTTGGTTTAGAACGGTGATTTTCTTGTACAGTGTTTATTAGTGCAGTCATTGTGCTGCATGGTGTAGGTTCGTGCAATCATTCTGCTATAGAGTGTTAATGAAGGTTGACATTACGCTGCACGATTAACACAAATGCAGCCATTCCACTACGTGGCTGGTCTTATCGTCACTGCACTCATATTTGAAGGCTTGCTTGCTTGCTTGCTCGTATGCTCAGATGCTGTGTGTGTGTGTGTTTGCAGGGTTGCCACACTTCAGCACCGGTATCATGCGCAGCTGGGGTAGAGACACGTTCATCGCTCTGCCAGGTCTGCTGCTGCTCACAGGCCGTTACCAGGACGCCAGGTATGCACCCGCTCACCACGCCTGCCTCCCTCTCACTGTCAATCAAGCGCGTTGACCAACGAGCGTTACGTGGGGGGTAGGATAAGAACCTCTGATGGCAATCTCAAAACATTCTGTTTAATCTATTCCATCTACACAGACACTTATAGGTTTTTTTTTACTTTTTGAAGTGTTAATGGAACACGACTGTGATCTGCTTTAGTTAGGGAGTGTGGATGTAGAATAGATGATGTGTCCATGGTAAAGTATGTAGGAGAGTAGGAACTCTTCACCATAGAAACAGTTTTGTCCTCACTGGAGTTGGTGTGCTGTCGTCTGTGTTACCGTGCAACACTGTGTACTGTTCGTGGAAATCCCCTTAAAAACCGATAACGAAACCTAGGCATAAGGCTAGACGATAAGGGCAGCTAATCTGAGGGAAACAAAACGTTGCGAGTGAACGAACGTTCTACAGTTGTTAATTAACGGTGTCGTTGTGATGGCTTGTTTCGCAGGCAGTTGATCCTGGCATACGGCGGCTGCATGCGTCACGGGCTCATACCCAACCTACTGGGAGGAGGCGCCCACGCGCGCTTCAACTGCCGCGACTCCGTCTGGTGGTGGATGCAGTGCATACAGGTGAGTGCTCATCAGTGACTCAGATAAAGACTGTTGGTTGCCGTGGTAAATACAGTAGAGCAGGATGTGACAATGACGGGAGGCTCTGCGTTGAAAATGCAGGGTAGTTCCTTCCTACTAGCTTCAGTGTTTTTGGTGTGTTTTCGTAACGTTGGTATCTGTAATGGGCTCATTCACACCTGAATTTTTACGGGGGGGAATTGTTTTATATAATGTAACACTTTATTTATATATATGATTGCGTGACAAGTTTGTGTTCCATATACTAATTGCGTGACTAATAATGACTGATCGTCTAAGCGTGACTAATAATGACTGATCGTCTAAGCGTGGCTGGCATAAACACATTAAACAAGTTTTAAATATTTACTGTGTAGGATTACTGCAAGCTGGTTCCTGAGGGACATCGTCTACTGAAGGACAAAGTGTCTCGTATTTACCCGACTGACGACTCGCTGCCGGAGGAACCTGGATTCTTCGTAAGTGACGTTGAAAATTCTTTAATACACTATTGTGGTTTGAACCCCTGGTGTGCATTAACATGTTCCTACTTGCTGCGAGCGGCGCACACGTTATTGTCCCTACGAATGTTTGATCGCGTGCGTTTTCTATGCTTGCCATACAGGATTAGCTGTTACATGTGTTTCTGCACAGATGTAGACACTAGATATAGACAGTATTTAGACACTATTGTGGTCTAAACTCATGGTCTCCATTAACGTATTTCTATGCTGCGGGCGGCTCGTATATTACTGTCGTTACATGTGTTTGATCGCGTGCGTTTTCTATGCTTCCCCCCGCGCGCAGGATCAGCCGCTGGAGGACGTCATTCACGAAGCCCTGCAGCGACACTACCAGGGCGTCGAGTTCTCCGAGCGCAACGCCGGCATGCATCTCGACGAGCACATGAGCTGGAAGGGTGAGTAGCGTCTACACGCGTATTTGTGTGTGTGTGTGGGGGGCGGGGGCAGCTAATGTGTAGCCATCTAGACGCATGTGTGCGGTGGCTGTCGTATCGCCAGGCAGACGTGTGTGTAGTGATGGTGGCAGTGGTGGTGGGGG